ACCAATGGTTATAAAGGTTTCTTAAATGTTGTGTTTGTCTCACTTAGACATTATATAACCAATTACAAAGAAAATAATGTATACAAGAAAAAAAATAGTTTTTTAGAGAATGTTTCTGTACAAATGTATCACAATTAGTGCTTCTAGCAAAATTGTGTTTGTTATTTTTCTTGAGTTTTGAATTTTCTTATATAGTAGATCGGAGAAGATGATTGTTGTAACATTTTGAGTTCAACTCACGAATTTACTTTGTCTGTCATTTTCATTGTCTTCCTTGTAGTGACAGGTAATCGTTTAACACATTTAATGCGAATATTAGATGCATTTCACCAAATAGTGCCTTTTACCTAATTAAGGAGACTACTTATCAATTTTTCATATCAAACGAAACTTGAAAAAGTAATTTCAGTGCAAAGCAGCTATTGTAGTGACTTATATATGTTTTTCTCTGTGATTTCAGAGATTCAATTCTGACGGAAAGCTTGGTTATTTTCTTTAACAGATTTTTGAGTTTTGAGATAATTTTTTGATTTGTTATAGTAAGGACTGAAATATTCAAAGTGAACTTTGTTATCAATTTCAATAAATGATAAATATTTAATGAATATTAAATAGATTGTATGCTTCGTCTGATTATCAATCATTTTTATAGATGATTTGCATTTTACACTTCATCTATTTAACCTTTTAAATATATGTTTTAAAGACGTTTTCATAGACATTTCTTTTATATAAAATGCTTTATTTGTTAGTACTAAAACTCTAAATTTAAAGTATCATCTTTTGATTTAATAGTGACAATGACAACAATAATATTAATAGTCTCGTGAGAACTTAATTTGTAATTGGCTGGTACAACATTCTTATCACAATAAACTTAATTTATCTTGATTTTTTGAAATTGAAAACTCCAAAAATACAATTTTACTTATCTCTTTGTTCAAGCAATTCAATTGTATACAAACCAATTTTTTAAACAAATGTTTTCCTAACTAGCGATATATACATTGAAATTGAGTGAGTATTGCACAAGTTTTTATAAATAAAATAGTTAAACTTTTGTTCAATTTTTTATATTTGAAACTCAGTTAGCTTGCCAAAACATTAATATTAGTTTTTTTAAAAAACCTGACTCATTCTTTAGTCGAATGATTATTCTCAATCACATTTTTTTTTATTTACAATGCTTAAATTTATGATCTTATTTAAAAAATTGAATTCAATATACTTGAATCAACGATTTAAATCATATCTAAAAATTAATTTATAAGATAGCAAATAAAAATAACACACATTTCAAAACAACAAACTAGAAAATAACTTTTTTATATTTTTTCCTTTCTACGTGACTTTGTAAGTTTCTAACTATGTAAACTAGGTGTATTTATTGTTATGGTGAGTTGACTATGAGCCGAGGTACAATATACTACAAATTAATATTTATATCTCAGGCTATGTAACCTAAGACCCTTTGTTTGTTAGGTGATGATAGTTTTCTCCTTTGGCTTGTTATTTATATTTTCTTACACATAAAGAAAAACCAGTTCGTTGATTTCAGTCAACATTTATATATTGGTGGTAAGGCTCTTTGGGCCGATAAAGCCCAACACATGAATTGAACCACGAGTTCGATTCAAACACTTTTTTTTTTTTTTTTTTTTTTTTTCACCCTTTTTAAAAAATAAA